TAAAAGAAGAGAGGGATCTGGGGTAAAGGCCATCTCTCGAGGCTCCTCTCTTTTTTCTTCGTCCGCTTCCTAGCTTCCCGCAAGGTTTCTTCACAAGAGTAAGAAAACTGATTTACAGGCATCAGCAGTATCGACACATGCACAATGAAAAGCGTTATGATGTGTTTATTTTGTGGAAAATTGTTGAGGTGTAAAAGCATTGTTTTTAGTGTAGATGAACGAATCATGGTGCTAAAAATACGAGTTGCGATGATGGTGATTCATTGACTTTTCTTGCGGTGATGTGGTGTTCGTTAATTTTTTTTGCGGTGTTGCGGTGTTGAGAACCCCCTCCCCCCATGTCCCCCTCTCTAAGCGGTGTGATTTAAGAAGTTTTTGTGATGCTTGAAGAAGACAATTATAGCTAATTGGGCTGCAAAATGCCACGTAAACAGGTTATTCCAAGATGCGATGTTTGCTTATTTCTGAGCGGTACCATACATATAGACAAAATTACATAGTCTTATTATTAAAAACTATCAGTTATTAATACAGATTGCTTTCAAAAATTTGATAAAAATATCACTGTCAGTGGCTTCACAAATTATTTCAGGACGTTTTGGTTGCTGCTGCAATGTTCTTTAGCTAAAAATGTAAATAGGCAATGCTGTTGCTGATGTTATAAGAATCAAGAAAAATAACCACCTTTCAATTGTGGATGATCTTCAGCTCTGAAAGCCATAAAACTTGGCACAAACTGCTTTCCTCAAATCTTGCTTAAATTCATTTCTAAAGATGTTTTTTCATAGCGGTGTACAGGTTGCATGCTTCAAAATATCTTACAAAAATAGTTTAAAGAAAATTCTTGTACTAACAAAAGAAGATTTCACGTGGGGAAGAAACATTTCCATTGAGTAATTGTACACCTGTACACATAGATAAAGATTGTAGATTTCCTTCCCCAAGGGGTATCTTGACAAATCAAATGCTGATAATTCTGAAGTTTGATTTTAATTTGGTACACTTGGATTTATGTTCATGAAGATGAACTCAGCCGTTCAATTACTTGCAGACATGATGTTATACATGCATATACTCTTATCCTGTCTCAACGAATCAAGAACAAATCGGTGATTTATTTTGCTTTCTCAGCAGTTTCTGGGTCATTTTATTGACTGACAAAGATGGTCAGGATAAATTCATTAAAGGAGGATTGAAACAGAGTCTAGACTCTATTGTGGCAATGGTGAGTACACTTTTTTTTCACTTCTTGTAACTGTCATAAGGGCCTGATTACATTCATTATATTTCCCAAGGACTATAGAGCCCCTTCCTTCTAAAGCTCCCTGGGATATCCTACTCATTTAGTCAACACAATGTACATGTAAGGTCCATTGTGGCCTTGTGCTCCACTCACGAAGGAGCAAAGAGGATGAGTGACATGTAAGGTCCAGGGAAAATTATCTCAGTCTGTGGTTGGGTAGGGATGTTTTAAGTTCCTGGGAGGTTAATTCTACTGTGTGTGAACAGGTTCCAACTCGACTAACCAGTCTATGGTCGATCATCATTAACAAATTTTGTTAGTAAGCAAGTAAATTTGTCTTATTTGCATTAAGGTATTATCTGTACTAGCTGTGAATATTTTCATGGTAATTTGCATTCTGTATGTACCTACACTATATACATAGTACATATGATTGTAGTAAATGGGGTGAAATGGTTGAAATGAGCCTATTATGTTTAGTATTTCACGGTAAGACCTCTAGGAGCTTTAGCGTGTCTTCAGATTATTAATGTGGTGCCTAGCAAAAAACTCTAAAATTTCACTTTCAACAAGTGCCCTGGGAGAATTGTTAAGGTGGGAGAGTTAGTGTTAGTGTCATATCCATCACTGTGTCTTTAATTCTGACATAGAGAAAGTTTCTCTGAGGTATAATACTCTGCCTTGTGTGATTTGATGTGTTTTGAAACTGTGGGTATTCATGCTTTTTTTTCTCTGTTTTTTTTTAGACCTTAAAAAACCATTAAAAAAAAAAAGCATGAAATAATTTGAATTATTGTTCATCTCAAATCATGGTTAAATGCTTCCTCATGCTTCGAGAACTTGTACAAAGAAAGTCTTGTGCTAACCAAAACACATTGAATTTTTCACATTGAGAAAATATTGTACGTCAATACAGTGTGTACATGTAAGCATAAACAATTTTCATTGAATGGTACATCCATAAATAAAGACTGGATTTCAAGAAAGGGGGCGGGGCGGGGGCAGGAGCGGGGGCGGGGGAGGGTCTCGCCAGCCAAAATTTAAAAGAAATTCATGAGTTGAACTGTAATTTCCAGAGGGAGCTGGAGAAGTGGGTTGGGGGGTGGGGGGTCATACCAAGAAACTTGTGGGAGGGTAAAAAAAAAAATTGTGAATTTTTGTCATTTGAAACATTGGTGAGAAACTACAATTTAATCCTCTGGTCATCATCAAAAGCTCAACAGAAGGGAATTATAGTTTCAAGAGATGAAGTGAGTTGTGTCCAATTCTCAAAAATGCCATGTTTCCTCATTTGTCTTTTCCTGCCAAGAGTAATTATTTTAATTTACTTCATTGTTTCCTTTGTGCATGTGATCTTTTAAGCTTTCTTTTTTCATCCTTTCGTGCAGTTGTTTTGTAGTATTTTTTTAGGTTAACTGTTGTGGTTGCATGGTCGTTTTGTAAATCGAATAAGCACAGGCTATTTCCACTTGTGGAGCGCTGAATGGGCCGATCGAGGACAATAAAGAATGACAAAGAACTAGAAATTACTGACTGCTCGTATTCCTTGTGGTTTTTGAATTTATGAACATTGCATTTGCTGTACATGTTCACATTTGCCTATAGAAGAGCAAGGTCTAAACATAAGCAACTTTTCGCTTCAACAACCAATACATACATAGGCAAGAGGGTGGGGGATAAACTGGGCCTTTTCCTTAGATTTTCGAGTAAATTTGATATGATAAAATAATGTTTTAAGAGATGGCTGCAAATGTTTTGCCTAAATTTTTATAAGATGAACGACATTGTTCAAAAGCACAATCATTGCTTGGAAACCACTGACAGTAGTTTTGTTAGTGTGATAAAACATATCAGAGGTTCATGTACCTTCCATCTGACCGTGCCTTTTATGACTCCAGCTATTGCTTTCTCACACTGTGCTATGAAAACATTTAAAAGAACCTTGTTGGCGGGTTTGATCTTTAAAAATGTCAGTTTAGGAATTAAGGAGAAGAACTTTGACCACCAATCAATTTTTAGTCAGTAACTTGAGGTGCAGTGGCCTCATGGTTAGTGTGCTCCCCTCTGGATTGAGCGGCGCGGGTTCGAGCCCTGGCCGGGGACATTGTGTTGTGTTCTTGGGCAAGACTCTTTACTCCGACAGTGCCTCTCTCCACCCAGGTGTATAAATGGGTACCAGCGAATTTAATGCTGGGGGTAACCCTGTGGTGGACTAGCATTCCATCCAGGGGGGAGTACATGTAGAAATACTCCTAGTCACTTCACGCTACAGAAACCGGAGATGTAAGCAGCGGCCTGGTGGCCCACTTGGCTTGTACTGTATGCAGGCTTCACCTTTTTACTCTCTGTCGGAGAAAATTATTGAATGAATGCGTGTTGAGATATTGTCTTGATGTGCCGCGAAAATAACAGAACTAAAATGGAGGCATGTTTGCAGTTAGTAAGGAAAAAAATGAGCTTTGAACTGAAAAAAAGTTGATGTTGTACAAACGTAATTGTGGTACAGCTATTGTTATTGATTTTCCAAAAAGCCAGCAAGTCTTTCGGCGGGAAAAAATTTTTCTTCATTAAAGACATTGTGATATTAAAAGAAACCAAAAAAGTTGGAAAAAAAACTAAGTCTTTTGGCGGGAAAATTTTTCTTGATTAAAGTCATTGCGCATTTAAATGGTTGGAAAAAGAAACTAAGTCTTTTCGCCGGAAAACTTTTCTTGATTAAAGTCATTGCTCTTTTAATGGGAACCAAGAACAGTGGAAAAAAAGATTTTTGGCGGGAAAAATTTTCTTGATTAAAGTCATTGCTCTTTTTAAGTCACCAAATTCACAAAATTACCTAATGCGTTAGGTCAGTCTGATAAAATAACTAAGAAATTTTGCACAAATTTTCAAGATATTTTTGTAAATCTATTACGAAACTATACATGAAATGCTAGTATTGAATGGGTTTGAATGTTGCCAAGCTGATATCGATATATTTCTTGTAACTTGTCTGTTTGATTTAAAACAGTATTTACAGACAGAATGCTTTACAATTTACTTATTTGTATTTTGATTTTTCCTTCCAGATTCGAAGACAAAGTTCACTGGAATCACCAAAGAGCGAAGCAAGGCAAAGCAGATTGTAATAAAGTCGCTTTTAGTGGAAAAAGTCCGGGAAAAATTGTGCTTTTTCAAGTGGTCGAGGAAAACGTCTACAAAATTTTCTTAGATTTAACTCTTGAAAGCGAACAAGAAAGAGGTCGGGAAACTTGTTTCGGTTTAAAAATTTGCGTTTTCAAAGCCACTGGGAAAATCGTGGAAAGAAAAAAAGCTAAGTCTTTTGGCGGGAAAATTTTTCTTGATTAAAAACATTGTGCTTTTAAAAGGAACCAAAAAAGTTGGAAGAAGAACTAAGTCTTTTGGCGGGAAAATTGTTCTTAGAAAAAAAAAGTCTGCGCTTTTGAATGGTGTCATGTTTTGAGTCAAAAATATACAAGTCCTTTGGCGGGAAAAATATTGCCTTGTGCAACGGATTTCTCCCATCAAAAGTCAAAGTATATGCTTGATTTCTGGCTAGACTCTGTTCAAAAGTGCAGATTATTTTTTTTCATTTTGGCAACCCTACATAGTTAAAATATAGTAAAAGAGATAGCCTACATTCCGACTAGTTTCCAGGCCCCTTTTAAAAGCGCAATATTTTTTTAAATTTCTTTTGTAAAATTAAAGACAAAAGGACAATAAAACAAACATTACTTGTAAAGTGTTTAATTTTTTGTACCATCAACTTAATTTACATGTACAAGTCTTATTAAGGCAAACTTGTTTACAGCTAATGCAATTATACATTTTACTTAAACTACTTTGCAAGTCTGAAAATTATTTGCGGTAATTAGAAGGGTCATTAAGTAAAAAATAAAAGAACTACTGAGGCGAAATAGAAAAGTCTAAGTGTGAAAGGTCCAAAATTATGACAACTATCATCATAAATAAAATTGTGGCAAAATCTAATNTTAATAAGCATACTCAAAAAATCCCTGTGTTCACCAGCAAATTTTATGGCATACTAAAGTTTGGCCGGATAATTTAAAAACTGTAAAACCCAGAAAACCGAAAGAGCCTGGTAACTTAAGGTATTTCTGAAAAACAACTTTTAAGGGTTATAGATGGGTTACATCATTGAAATTCTGCAACAGTTTCTCACTGTTGGGCATTTAGTCAGTTGAGATCACAGCCTTCACCTCGAGTGTTTTGTTAGTATACCCAAACTGAGAAGATTCGTCCACAGCAAAGCTCCAACTTTTTTTGGAATGGCGCACTATTTCTTAAAAACATCAAGTTCTCTCTGCTAGAACATTTGAACGAGCCTCTCCGTCGAAATCCGCCGTAAGAAAAGAGATGGCGACTGGTACATTTACCCATAACTCTTAGCGCACGGAAACTTAAACAACGTTCATAAAAACGTACTACAGAAACTTTGTAAAACCTTCAAACCTAACATGCAGAGGGACAAATACCGCAATTATCTTGCTTTCCTTGTACTTTACGGGTTGTATTAGGTTCACATAGTATTGTGCTAAAATGTACAGCCGCCATCTTTTTTCCCACGGAGGACTGAACCAAATTCAAGCATTGTTATTTCGGCAACCCTAAAACACAGAAACCAGAATTCGGAAACCGGAATCCAAAAATTAAAGAAAGCAAGTTCTTTAAATACGCGAAAGTTACTTTGCATAGCTTTTGCCTGTTAAAATCAAGAGGCCAAGTAAAAAAGAACTCAAACTTAACCCTTTTTGGAACGAGGATTCCCCGTCTGTCGAAATTCGTGCAACCGTTATTTCTAGTGAGGGCTACGATTATGAGAATCTAAATAGCGTGCGTCCTAATTTTGTTCTAAGCACCCTGACAGCGTCCAAAATAAGCTGGCTGGTATTGCCATTTTGTTTAATAAGTGATCTGCAATTTACCTGAGGTATAAATTTGGCCTTTATGTCTAGTAGACTCTGAACAAGGTACCGGTAGGAAATGTTGTCATAATAGTTGCTTTTTCGATGTTTATAAAAAGCTAAAAGTTTCCAAAATTTTAAAAACCAAAATGTGGTACCACTGATGATGACCGTACGGTCGAAAACGTTTTGGTTTTCAAAATTTTAGTAACTTTTAGCCTTTTATAAACAAGATAGGAAATGTCATTGAGAACAGGGCCTCCGTGGTAGCTACCTGTACATCGATGGTCACGCCATCCACTTTCGATGTTCAAAGGTTAACCTGACTCGTTTAAATAAATTTGTTTTTCCCAACAGATCCGAGATTAATTCCAGATCAACACTATTTCCACACTGACACTGTTACAAATCACCGCTACATATTCTTGTCGGCCATCATATTAAAACAATTTATAGAAATGTTGTACACTTACTTCCGTCTGCTTCTCGCTTGCGAGCGGATTGTGCTACTCACCAGTCTTCTCAGAGCAATTTGTAGACTTTCTGAAAAGTCCTTCGTCTTGTTTATTCAGTACCCGACCTCTCGCGACTTCGTCGCTCGCTCGGCCGCTTCGCGACCTTAAAAACGGCCGCTTCGCGGCCTAACATATTCTACCCTGAAATTCATGAGGTCGACTTGTGGCAAGTCGAAGCAATTTGATCTAGACAAGAGCTGCGCTCTCACCAGGGCCAGGCTGATTAAAGGATGGGTAACTTAGCCTGCGAGCAGGTTCTCGTGCTTGGGCCGGGGGCTCGAGCGGCGAAGCCGCGAGAAGACGTTCTCTCACATGCCAAAGCAAACACCAAGAAAGCAGCGCTTGAGTGTGAAACCCATACACTAGAGCCTGTTTACAGGCTAAGGGTATCCACCCAAAAAAATGACTAACCCTGACTGGATAGTGATTTACAAGAAATAAAATGCAAACAGCGGCAACAAACATAACACATGAACTACGCATGGTTTGGAGCAACAATCTAAAATTTTCTTGACGTTTCGCATGCTACAGCATGCACGCTGCTGTAGCATCAAAAGATGCGTGCTGTATTATGCGAAACGTCAAGAAAATTTTAGATTGTTCTTCCAAACCATGCGTAGTTCATGTGTTATGTTTGTTGCCGCTGTTTGCATTTTATTTCTTGTTAACTTGAAATGGCCAAAGAACAAGAGTGTTTATAGTGATTTACGCAATGGATACATGTAGCCTTATCCAGCTTTTGAACAACGGTCCAGATGTATAAGTGTAGCTTGAGGTTACTCAAAACTAGAAAATAAATTGTAACAAAATAACTTAGTTTATTTATTATTTCTATCATCATTCATAATATCTAAGTTCTGGATTCCGGATTCCGGATTCCATATCTTACCATTCGCGCGGCCCCATTCGCGCGATTTTTGGCCAATCGACGCTACTCATAAATTATGCAAAATTAATTTATTCAAACATTGCTGCACATGTCATACCTGTACGATGGAAGAGAAGTGAAGGCGACGGATTGACAAAATGATTCTGTTATAGTGGGGGTAGAATGTTTGGGAAACTCGCACGTTACGAAGGAATAAGAAATACTTTCGCTTTGTCTGGACTATGCAGTTTTTAAGTGGCAGACTCAAGGTGAGNGTAGAATGTTTGGGAAACTCGCACGTTACGAAGGAATAAGAAATACTTTCGCTTTGTCTGGACTATGCAGTTTTTAAGTGGCAGACTCAAGGTGAGTCTTAGCAAACAAATGTCTTTCAACTTAGCTCTCGGAAACCTGCGGAAACGGCGTCGGAAACGCTTAAGGTTCCGTGTGCAACACGCATTTTGATTTACAAGGATGTGGATGGGTTCCTTTCTCACAATGCGCCAGAAATATAATCTTACATGCGTTTGGTTATGTCAATTTAGTTTTATGAGACTTGGAAACTTTGGTGAAGCTCAAATGTCCGAAAAGAGATGGCTGGCTGTACGTTTTACCACAATACGTTGCAAACCTAGCTAATACAGCTATTTCCAAACAAGACAAACAACATTGCGTATGCTAGGTTTAAAGTTTTAAGCATTTTGTTGTCGTAAAATGAGATTTTTTTAGGGTTTACCTGCACTAAGAATCATGGGTTAATGTCCCATTTGCCATCTTATTGAGACAGTGGACTTTGAGTTTACAAGAATTCATGTTAGGCCATCCCCTTTTTTTCTCTGTTTACTGTCGTCCGACCGACCCAGATTTTCGCGTTTTCCAAAAACAAAAAAAAAAGTTACACAGAAGGCAATGAAGGGACAATGACACATTATTTCAAACAATTGTCACTTTAATCTGAAACATAAGCAATTTTTTGCCTTACAGATTTTTAGTTTTTCCCTGTTCTTGTTTGATTTT